AAGCACATGCCGAACGGAGCGACAGAACTTGCTAACCTGTCAAGTGCTCTTTTGGCATCCTCCATACATTCGAACAAGCAGACGATGTCGTCAGCGTACTCCAAATCACAGCTTTTCTCCAGTTGCCCATTAAATACCTATATTTTGGAGACCACTTAGTATGTTCTTCAGTATTTCGTCTATGACGAAATTGAACAGGAATGGCGAAAGAGGGCACCCTTGACGAGCACTGCTGCTAGTTATGAACGACCTACTCAGCTCGCCGTAGATCCTTACGCCACTAGAGGTATGTGAGTGGAATGAACTCAGTATGTTCACGTAATTCTGCGGCATTCCTTTGCGAAGGAGTGAATCCATAAGGGATTCACGATTAACTGAATCGAGGGCTTCTTTTAGGTCAAGGAACACGACAACCGTTGGTCGACAGTGCGTATGGCGTAGCTCGAGGACTTGACGCAGGGTGCAGATTTGATGGATACAACCGCGACCTGGTCGAAATCCTTCTTGTTGTTCGTTTGTTTGTCTCCCTAAACTGTGTCAGACATCGAAGTGTAATGGAGGCTAGTAACTTGGTGACGATTGGGATCAAACTTATTCCACGGTGGTTTGCGCAGTCAGTGCGAGATCCCTTCTTAAAAATTGGAATGATCAGTGGTTCGCGTCACGATGATGGAATGCGCTCGTGTGACATCTGGTCACACATTATATCAGTAATGGAGTCTACAAGGTCATCGCCTCCCATCTTGAAAAGAGACGGGGGAAGCCCTGCTGCTTTTCCTTTCTTCAAGGCTTGGATGCAAGAATGAACTTCTGCTGCGGTAGGAGTTTCAGATGACACTGCCCACGGAGCCTCAGCTACATCGCAGGAGATAGCCTGGTTAGCGCCTGGCCAGCTGAACTGCTCGTTGAAGTATTCCGCCCACCGATCAAGTCGTTGTTCCCTATTGCGAATAGATTGCCCACTTTTGTCGCAGATTGTTTCATTAACTGTGGTTCACCGACCTCCCGTATTGCGTATCAGTTGGAACAGTCTTTGACTATTCCCTGATGCAGCTGCTACTTCCATTTCACTAGCTATCGTTACCCACCAGTTCTCACGGTCCTTCTTGAGGCTCTTCTTGAAATGACGTTGCAGACGCCACCTAACCCTGCCTTGATCCCGGGTGGTTGGGATTCGCCACTTTTTCTCTATCAGTGCTACTGACTCATCAGATATCGAAATGCCTCACGCGGACTCCCACTTCCAATCCGCAAGCAACCTTCGCTGCGGAGTGCATTGCTGGGCTAATCTGATCCCATTGTTCATTTAGACTACCACGCCGCAGTGCGTTTAGCTCTTACCCCAGTTCTGATTCAAAACGGGCACTAACAGCTGGATCAGATAAGTGATAATCTGTTAATGGAGTTTGGTGGAATTTTCTACGACCAGTGAGTTCGAAAGTGAACTGCATCAACATGATCCGGTTCAACGCAGGTGGTCCAATAGGACCTGCAGTTTTGTACTGAGCCGCGCCAACGGTAACTTACTGCTATGTGGTCGATCTGAGTTAGCGTGCCAGTTGGATTTGAACGCCACGTTGCTGTCCGTTGAGAGCTGTATCGGAAGTTGGTGCTTGATAGGAACAGATGATGATCTGCGCAAAACTGAAGAAATCGATCTGTTCTCTGGGAGGGCAGAGCACAATAACCGCCTAGGCAAGCTTCCGATGCGCTCAGTTTTCCAACTTGCGCGTTAAACTCACCTGAGAGAACAACTATATCGGGGTTTCAGCTCAACCGAATGAGTTCGGTTAGTTTATCATAAAACTCGTCCTTTTGTGCGTCAGAACTGCAGTTGGACGGAGCTTACGCAGAAATGATGAATAAAAACCTTTTGGTGTTACTTCTCTTCCGGACGTTGATGGAGCCTTGAAGCCGCATCGCTCATAAGTGGCTGTTGACGGGGATCCAATCCAGTAGTGCGGCTTTGGCTGTATTATTCAGTACGATGCTCACACCACGCTGGCCTACTGAACGGGGTTCGTCATCACTTGAAATACGGAGGAAGAACCTCGAAGACAACCCCCGTGCACTTGAGTGGCATATAGCACTAGGATCCTGGATTCGCTTCTCCGATACGCAGCAGATGTCAATCCCTAAAGAGTCCGTTGTACGCGCCAGACACGCTTGTTGACCTACTTGCATCAGACTCCTCACGTTGAAGGCCCTCAGAGGCTTCAGAATATGCAATCTATTTTGTGGTAAACTACTTACTGAGCTAATTGGCGACGAACTTTGGCGAGTGACGATCAAGTTGTCTGAGGGAATGTTACGGGTTGGAAGAAGGGGTAAAGGGATAGGGTTGGGTACGGAAAACAAAGAGTTAAACAAAGGTTGGGATATCTGAGCAGTAACACACTTACCACTACCCACCCCGCTCGATGCAATGAGCAGCGCGGTCCTGAGTATCATGCGCGACGACCGATGCAGTATGGAATTATTTTTTGGTTGTGTATGCATTTGAGTTTGATGGGCGGATACTGCCAGTGTGTCCAGCCACTAAGCAGGAGAACGATTAGGGTTCTCGTCCAAAGCCTTTAGTTCTAACAAGAACCTAACCGCAAGGCAGCGGGNATTAGGGTTCTCAACCAAAGCCTTTAGTTCTGACAAGAACCTAAACGCAAGGCAGCAGTTAAGGCGAATTGGAGGCCCATTAACTTGGATCAATTATTCCTCTAACAGGTTTTATCGACTGAGACGCCGACTCTAGTTGAACCCCCAACCTGGAGGACCAGGAGACTGGACTTCGTCTGACCTCTACCCATTGACCTTCCAGGCATGATTAGATCTGCGACTGGGATACCATAATTATGCTCGACTGTTCTTTGGTTCTGATTTACTTTGAAGGGGCACGTCGATCCGCATGCAGTCTGTGTGAATGTGCATTCCTTTAGCTCCCAAATAGAGTAAAAAGGTTGCAGAATGCAGACCGGTACACTACCCGTCTTAATTAACGAAGTGTTTTTCGGTCATTTCGTTTGGGCGGGACGAATCTTAGGTCGAGATTTTGAAAGTAGCTGTTATAGTAATTTAATGTTTCGAATCCGTCCACCTTCTCCCAACAAAGGAGAACCCTGAAATGTACATATGTTTTCTC